CATTTGTATTATCAGTATTGTATTGTCAGTATTGTACTATATTGTCATATTGTTTTTTATTGTCATATGTAATGTATCTTTGGAGAAGGCGTTGATAAGTTGTAATAACTTGTGCCTAATCCACTGTCTGTATTTGACAATAAATATGTTTAAACTAAAGAAATTTGTAACGTCACGTTTGAGCCGTATATCTGACTGTGTAAAAACGTAAAAAAAATATTACGATCCGTTATTCAGGATTTGTTTTTCTATTTCGCTTCTTAGTGTATTTGAATACCCTCTGTCGTTTTTGTTATGGCTAAGTTAAATTAATAATTTAATTCAAATTCTTACTGAAAATATATCTATTTTTTTAAAGAATGCATTACGAGTGCATTAAGTGTAAGATAAGAGTGCTGTTAACTGTACAGGAATAACACAGACGTTTGATTAAATAAGGATTATTTTACAACATTACGTTTGTACGGTGAATTAAAAATGGCGCGAAATTAGATATCCAGCGTTTTCATGTAAAATGAATGAAACACGTGTATTTTATGCCTTTATATATCGACACTTGTCCATAGATATAAACGATATTTAATATCCGTGAACTTGCCAAAACAGAAACACCCACGAAATAGTATTCCCGCGAATGTAAACAACTACGCAGTATTTCATTGTGAGTAATTCTAACTCTGTAACTGTGGGGGATCAAAGTGAATTTCATTGGTAGTTGTGCGGTAAAGTGACGTGTTTATAAGTGTATTACTTTTTACGGTTGTCAATAGTGGTCTCATTGAGAAATATTCTATTTCCATGTGCGATATGAAGCTTGCCATGTTTGATGTTCTATAATTTGCATGTTCGTTCCGTTGTTCGTTCTTTACGCCGTGGCGCGGCGTCCGTCGTCAACTTTTTCCTTTAAACAACTTCTTCTCAATTTACCAACGGACCAAATATTTTGATAATTGGGCTGGTATGTTCCTAGGGTGAAGCCTGATAAATTTGTCGAAAAGAAATTACCTTGACCTTTATCCAAGGTCAAAGGGGTCAAATTTATTAAAACCTTTAAACAACTTCTACTCGTGAACTAATAGGCCTAGAGGCATGCTATTTGGCGTGTGTATATACCAGGTGAGCGCTGCGGGCCCATTGGGCCCCTTGTTGTATACCATTTTTACTCTTCCGGAACATCTGGTCTTATTTTCCTTGTACTTTTTCAGGAGTCTCTATGTAAATTGTTCTTTTGTTCATATTTGGCTCTAGTTTTATTGAATTTGAATTATGATGATGTTGACATAATGGGCATTAATGGATGGGTAACAGCCCCGTCATGCCTTCAATTTACAGTAAATTATTATATAATGTAAAGAATTTTTTTTAGATCTTTTTTTAGATTTTTTTTAAAAATCTGAAACGGTTGATTTCATTTGTTTCAGGTTGGTTTCTTGTTTGCAGCCGTCATTGATGACGGTAAAAGTATTCTGATACAATCGATTCGGGTCCGGAAGGAATACGAAGGCCGAGGAATATACTCGCGACTAAGGGAATTTTGCTTAAAGACTATTTCTCATTCTAGCGGAAGGATGGCTCTAGTTGTATACACTCCAGATAATTACAAAAAACTTCTGAAAACATCAGCAAAACTTATTTTCGAACGAGTATGTATATATATATTTATTTGAATAGCTTTGATATAAGTCTTAAAAGTTTTTTAACTTTATGCTGAGATGTTGTATGACAAAATCATAATGATAGAAATCTTCCACATTCTTTATCAACTTTTCAAACAAATAAATTTTAATCCTTCCAGTCTTTTCATTGTGCGTTTCTCTTCATTCCTATTTCTTTCTGTGATTTTTAAAACTTTTCCATTATAGTTACGGTCCGTTAAAATGGGTTATTGTCAATATCGTATATCTACAATAGTACCTGATTGATATGTTGGGTTCTCGGTACAATATTTGATTGAAGTGAAAACAGATATTGTCACGAAAATTGTCGACACGAAAAATAAACGAGAAATCAAACTATAAATGCACCCACCCATCTCTATCCATCCTCCTGTGTGGGTCGGGAATTCCTGTGTAATATGTCAATAATTTTATGACATTCATTTTTCATCACATCATTCACTGTTATTACCAAATACAGCGGTTTTTCGTGCCCTTTTTTAATTCAGTCTTGTCTCCATATTAGTCACCTCCATTGTCATAATCTAACTTGTGAGTCTGTAAGTTCAAACACGCAAACCCAGTAACTAATTACGTAAAAATAAGATTGTGACGTCACCAGTACACGAAAGGTCACCAACGTTTGTAGCAACATTCTTGCCCTCCTGACTCCTAAATACAAACCAAAATTGTAAGACGTCATATACACACGATGTACTACCTAAGATTACAAATGTTTGTTTGTCCGTTTCATGTAGGGTGCCATGAGATTGACAACTACAAAGAAGACTCTCCAGTCTCTAATCGTGTCCCGAAAATTGTCTGCCGATATCGAAAATGTCGATGCTCAGTATCTGGAGGGTTTGTTCGTCATCGATTCTGCATCTTCGCATCTTTTTCCAGAGAAAAGAATTGTTGTCAACTGTGTGCCTTACCAGCTTCTATCGACAAATATTAAGCGTATACTCCAGGGAGTATTCCAAGAAATGATTGCCACAGCCGTGCCTTATAGAAAGCATACCTCCATGATTTCTGCTGTTTCTTTTGATCAGTGCGAAGCTGGTACTCTAGTTAATCTTGATTTGTTCGGCGATATTGAGAACGAAAATATTCTGTTTGATCATTTAAATGTTCAGTTGGAAAAATGTATAAACAACTGTGGTGAAGTTATCGTGCTGTACATCACTTTTAAGATACAACAGAACGTCGACTCTCTTTCACGGGTGCTGTCGAAATTGAGCTGGAAGAAACTGAGTGATGACGTCATTCATGGCTTCGAAATTCCTATCTGAACTCTTATATGTATGAACGCACTTTTATTCTATACGCCATCCAAAGTGATGTTATGATTTTTTCATGAACAAATCTGTTATTGTATCAGATATACTAACTCGATGAGATCCAAATTGTTATTAGCACGTGCATAGTATTTATAGGTTTTCAGTTTTCACTCGCCCGGTGAGCTTATGCCATACTGTGGCGGCCGTCGGCTGACGTCCGTCAACTTTTACAACAAATGGCTGCTAGTCATGATTGACAAAAATTGGATTTTGACCAAATGTGACCAGAAGCATCCTTGGGGAAGGCGAACAGTTTTTGTGTAATGGGCGGGACCCAATGGGGAAATGGATCATTTTTCCCGAGTTCTTTAAAATACTACTCCCTCTGCAGGAAAGGATGGATTATTACCAAATATGGTCTGAAGTATCTTTTGGTGAATGGAAACCAATTTTGTATAAACGGCTTCCAGGGAAGGTAGAATTGGGGCCCAATGGAGGAAAGAGAGAACATTCTTTAAAATCTTACCCCTCTTGCCGGAATAATTGCATTATGTCCCATTTTTGTCTGAAGATGTTTTGGGTGAATGGAAATCAATTTGGTATGAATGATGGGTTTCAGTTTCGTGGGACGGAAGAGGCGGGGCCCAATAACGGAAATAAATGAAATAGTTAAAAAACACTCCTACTATATGTGTGGTTAGATTTTGTCTGGAGTATCCTTGGGTGAAAAGAACTTAGTTTTGTATAAACTGTGCATCTTACCCCCTTGGAGCCTTCGAAGGTTAACAGATACTGGTCTTTTTGAAAAAAAATCTTTCCCTTAGTTTTAATGAATGAAAGTAAACAAGGTGAGCGATACATCCCTTATGGGCCTGTTGAATATGTAAGTAACCGGTGCTTGATATAATTAAGTATTTCTGTCCAAATAAGAAATTTAAACTTTTAGATAAACAGGCTTTTGTATGGCGTATGAATATGTTACTCTTAGTGCCGAAGATTTCAACATAGCATAAAATGATCTATTATCACAGAGTTCGTTGTTTTACGACCTGAAGAATAAAGATGTATATATATCTTATGTTTTTCTGTTAACGAATATCAAGGATATTCCAACATGGCTATATAATGATAATTCAAACTTTAATTCCATAAAACTATGGCAAACTATGAACGGAAGAAAGAATTATGCGGAGACTCCGGAAAAAGTACAAGGAGAATAAGACCAAGTGTTCCGCATTGCTATTTGTAAATTATATCAGATAGTGGACTATGGTTACATACAGTATGTTTTATGTATTATGATATACATGATTCACGATTCATTCCAGTAACTTTTAGGTGCATTCAGGCACACTTTAAAGTTAATTTACTTTGTATGTATAAACACCAGTATGTACAACCTTGTGTAACTTTGTACTTTAAATGAATATTGCAGAAATAGCATCATAGTGTGTACAGACTGACAAATATTCTAAACACAAATTCAACAAGTATTTAGACAAAGTAAAACTCACTTCATCACAACAGGATATGTATACCACTGTATGTCGTATATAAAGAGCAGAAAATCCAGGTTTCAATAAGTAAACTATTGTTTTATCATTATATTAGTGATTATAACACAACAATACACTCTCGTTATCACGGCCCGGAGCAGAGCACAGACAAATAGCTAGTTGGTGTTGTCGGCCTGTACGCCCAATACTGCCCAGTCTGGCTGATCGGCGTTTCTTTAATGCATCCAGGGAAAAGGATGACATATCCACTAAATTACACAGCAAAATCATTTCCCCATTACGTCGTGACCTTTGGTCCGGCCATTTCCTTGTCAGGCCGACATTCGGGCACCAACTGGTCACACTTGTCCGTTAGCAAGTAACTCTCTACATGTTTTGTGTCATTATGCTATTTTTTTCGTGACTTGTTGACCATATATTAATAGATGTTTGACTACTGTACCTATTTTACACGTACGGACCAGTATAAAGTGTATCAACGCCTCTCAGCTGGCTGTTCTGTGCAGTTAATAATGATTCGACAGTAAAATACAGGTAAGATATACAGGGAAAATCAATCAATTTCCAGCCATAATTGTTTGACTTTAGGAGACACTAAAGTTCATAGTCAATGAATACATCCTAAAATGAGACCATTTTTACACTAACACATATTATTGTAGATATCAAAGGTAAAAAATATCCTAAATAAACACAACTTAAATAGATATATACATATATTTGTAAATTACAATCACAAATTAATGTATGTTACTATCTTTCACATCACCATTAAGATTTTTTCACTTTGATGTAGTGGTATAGATTTGGTTTATCAGACTATCGTTTACAGATATTGTGATGAATGGGAATATGTGAGACTTCAAGAATTATTGGAAAAAAATAAACGTAACCATTGTTTATTGTAACGGATTTCGTAAAGAGATCAGATTATTTTTATCATATACATTAAAAAGTGACTTTCGACAATCAATTTGCGACATGGTGTTTACGCTACATAAAATTATTACTACACTACTATGGGAAGCGTCTGTTGCGCATGTCAGCTGTTTAAAAGACACGGAATTCTCTCATATCCCGCCATATTAGATAAAGTTAGCCATGCAAGTAATTCGCATTCAAGGGAGACAACTTCTATAGCAACAGTAGCAAGAGTGCCGTTGACATGTTATACGCCGCCACAAAATATATAAATATTACAAAAATCAATGAACCGTTAAATCGCCCCGTCATGTACATCGAACCATTGTATTAGTGACGCTGAGCAAGTTTTATGAAAATCTGATTATCATTTTAGGAGAAGTTGCGTTCACAAGGCTCCACTGTGAGCAAGCTACAGATACAAAGTTGAAAATGGCATAAATCTTACAAAAATCAAAGAACCGAAAAATCGCCTTCATGCACATCTATCCATTGTAGTAGTGACACTGAGCAAGTTTCATGAAAATCTGATTGTTGGTTTAGGTGGAGTTGCGTTCACAAGAAATGGACGAACGGACGTACGGACAGACGGAGATGACGCTAATATACGACCGCCTCCGGCGGCGTATAAAAAGAGATACGTGTCTATATCTCTTAAAATCAGTTACATGTTAAGTTAGAAAAAATGTATTCCTTGTCGACATCTTTTAAGATGCATGACGGAAAAGCTTACATTTACCTACTCAAAATATACTTTTTTGCAAACTCTTGGTGTTGATATGAAAGAAAAAGACGTTTTCATTTTCTGTGTATGCAGGATCACAAAATGTCGTAAAATCATCGACAGAGCCTCGGGTTGAACATCACTATCCTTCCATACATACATATGAAAGAGCCTTAGCGTTTCCCTGTCAAAAACCGGAACATCCATGTCCACAGAGAAGTCCCATGTTTGATAATATTTAAGAAAAAACGGTGACAAATATTAAATAATTTTGAAGCCTATTCACCACGCCACCATCAATGTTGCATGAAATTTGCATCGATATTGATGACGTTTGCAACATGGTTACGCTACATAAAACGATGACGCTGCCCTATCTATGAATAGCGTGCGTTGTATAATTAAGCTATGAATAGCTTTTGTACTTCAGCGTTAGACTTTTGAAAATCATGTTCACTACTCCCGCTGAAATTCTGTTGCCCTTTGTATATTAAGAAATTTCCCAAACCGAAGGAATATTCGTAAAATTTTGGACAGCCAAAGTCCTGTTTGAATTGTAGTTTTCGTAATGTGGCTGGAAAAAGAAATCTTTTTGATCTCTCTGCAAATACAAGCATCATTTTTGTTGACCTTCTTTTTCAAAACACAGTTTAGAAATGACAGGAAATAAATATATCCTAGACAAAAAAATGTTTTAAAAGTTTGTGAAATAATAAAGGTGCCTTTTTCGAAAAACAGTTTAAATCGGTGATTGACAACGACATCGTTCGTGTCATGCTTCCTGGCGGGGCTTGAACAAGTACATGTAAAAGTGCCCTGGAATAAGCTAGTCCAGGTATGTAATCTTATTAGGCCGTCGGAAGGTGGTAGAAAAAAAACACGACAAACACGTTTTGTACTTTAATATACATATGTATTAATATGTTAACATCTAGGTGGACGAAGCAATGCATGCACGCGCGTGACAATGTGAGGACAAGATGATCATATTGCGGTCAATGGCGTGTGATGTGTTTAGTGAGGTGTGACGTGATGTGTGGATCCCTCTCGCACTCGTTTCGTCTCTATCTGTAATAGAAATTTACCATTTTATCTCGAGTTTTTTCAACTAGCGTTCGCAAACAACACAAAATAAACCAGTATGCAATGACAGCGCACAGCGCTCTGATTTCTATACTTAATTCGCTATACCTTTATTTGTTAAATCTTTAAAAAAAACCCGAGGATTCATGATTTTTCATTTCGCTTTTTTTCTGTCACAAATATCAATAGTGTGCCGGGATATATATATATATAAAGATAGGCAGATACCATTCTTTCTCTTTTCTTTCTTTTCGTTAAAGGTTTCAGAGACGAAGTTTTCCCCAATACGTACCTCTCTTACTCTTTCCCGATTTCCTTTATCACATTGGGTCATTTCCTCATCAGAAAAACGGTCCAAAGTGAAATACACGCAGAGGTGGGGCACAGCACGTGTATATCCCACCACATTCCCGACAAAGGTCGAAGTCTGTGTAGCCATCAGGACAGTCTCCAATATAACACTCGATTTCTATCTCCTGCCCCATGATGTACCCTGTAGGGAACAAAACAAACGAATTCTTATCACATCTAAAAACAAAACTTAATTAGAGAAATGTCCTTAATATGTCACTTTCTGAAAGAACAATCCTCACATGCACCCTTGTTATTTTATGTTGTAAGAAAAACTTGCCTCAGTCATTGATATCACATTCTGCGAAAGCAAACCTCTTTGATATTCCAAATGTATACACTTTCGTTATAAACGAGCATATTCTGTGGGAACAAATCTCGTTAGCATGACAGTCTGTGAGAACAAATCTCGTTAT